TGAGTGGTAGCTGTATCATCATTTTATTTGAGAAACAGATGGTTTTGAAAGAGAAGATAAAACTGCCTGCTTTATCTTGCCATTGGCTTTCAATTGAGCCATGTGAAATCCGTACCCAAGAATTGAATTAATTACCTGGACTATTTTCCTTAGTTTTCATGAATTATTTCTAGTAAGGAAATTGCATTGTAGGAGTGTATTGCGAAGCACTAACTATAATAACAAATGTGTAGCTGTCTCTAAAATATGTTTTTCAGCGATTCCACTGTCATAATAACTTTAGTGATCAAAAGCTGAAATAAAATTAAGACACATGTAAAATATTAACTAGCTCTAGATTCTTTTGGTTTTAGTGAGAAAAATGAATTGTACTTAACTAGCTAAGCCATCTGACAGTGAAGCATCTTTAGCTGGCCTCAGTCCGTTTATTCCAGAAATGCAATTGGAGGGCTTAAGGGTCCCTGAGAAAGCACTACCCTGGATTGATTTGCAGGAAATAAAAATTTTGCATGACAATACAACTTCTGCCAGCACAGGGAGGCAGGGTGAAGTCATCACTTTCCAGCTGTCATTACTAGAAGGGATCAGTTAAATCTTATCATTTGACTATGGTGTTAGTGTATTCACAACCAAGATGGGACAGGTTTTCCAATCACAAAGTTGCTGATGTCCTTTTTGATCTTTTCTTTTTTCAAAGTACTCCTTTTTATTATAGAGCTCTCTACTTCCTTGATTAGGTTAATTCTTAAGTGTGTAATTTTTTGAAGCAATTGTGTATGGGATCATTTTCTTAATTTATTTCTTGGTGGGTTGATTATTGGTGTATAGGAAATCTATTGACTTCTGTGTGTTTTATGCCCTGCTATTTTGCTGTTTGTTCTAGGAGTTTTTTAGCGGAGAATTTTGGATCTTCTATATAAAGGATCATGTGATTTACAAATAAGGATACTTCAACCCTTTCCTGTTTCTTTTTCTTGCTTGATTGGTCTGAGCAAAGATTCAAGTACTATATTGAGCAGAAGTAGTGAGAGTAGAAACTTGTCTTGTTCTTAATTTCAGAGCAAAACTTTTCATCTCTTTCTGATAATCTGCTACTTGTTTCTTAATCCAAAGAAGTTGACACACTAGGATTAATGGTCACGCTTACTGTTCACTCTGATTCAAAATTTCCAGGGTAAAGAATGTGAGTGGCCTAGTGTCCAAACAGATCCAGTTGTCCATGGACATAGACACAAGAGAGAAACATGGCTACTGAACACACATCCCTGTGGATTAAGGCTACAGAGGGGTCAGTTCCCAGATAAAGGAGGATTTAGGCATCTATCTGTGCAGAGAGGTAGTGGTCAAGTAACAGAAGCTGACAGTGTGTCAGAGAAACTGGCGTTGAGTACAGCCAGTTTCAAAGAGGAAGCATTGTACACACTTTCCCCTGGAGGTGGCGCTGCAGGGCATGACCGTGGGATTAATTTGGCCTCAATATATGGGGCAATGTATGGATCCCAGGTAGATCATTTATTAACTGTGTAACTATGGACATATTTCTTGACCTCTCTGTGTCTCAGTTTTTGTATCTGTAAGGTAAAGCTAATAATAATTTCCTACCCATATACAATCATTTTAACAAAGTAAAACAATGCATATAAAGCATTTAGTACAGTGCTTAGCACTTGATGTTAAACAGACGTTAATTATTATTATTATTCTAGTCACTATGTAGCATCATGCTACAACTGACAGATCCTGGTGTTCTCTTTTGTGGTGTTTATTTCTTTTCATGATATAGATTTTGTGACTTCCAAAAATTTCAAGACTTGATTCCCTCTCTAGACTCCCGTTTTTTTGTTTTTTTGTTTTTTTTTACTCCTACTGAGTGCTGAACACTGAACACTGAAACTCAGAAGAACCAAAACTATATTTGTGCTCTTTTCTTTACAAATTCTTCCACTCACTAATGTTCCGAATTTAATAGCATCAACCTTTCTTTCAACTTAAGTCAGAAACCAGGAGTGATGAGAATTACAGTTCCAGAAGATCTGGGTCACTTGATATGAAGCCATCCCTAGCTTCTCTTTCATACCCTAAGGCTTAAACATTCATCAAATTCTATTTGTCTGTTTCATATAATTATGAGTATGGGACCGATAACCATTTATGGTGGCTAAGTGCCAGAGACTATTCTAAGTACTTTTATAGGTGCTAATCAATTTAATCCTTCTAGCAATTTTATGGGGTAGATACTATTTTTATTCTCATTTACAAATATGGAAACCAAGACTTCAGAAGTGAAATAACCTGTCAGGGTCACTGCTAGCAAGCAGCAGTGAGCAGGCATTTCGATCTAGGGTCCTTACTCCCAGCCCTTAAGCCACACTGAAGCTCTTGATAAACCTTGTTTGTCCTCTCTCTCTTTCCATTATTTCCACCACAACTTGGGCAGTGACTCCCATTACTTCCATTACTTCAATAGATTCCTAGTTATGCTCTGTGACTTTGCTCATTCTAAGACAACTTGGATACTGTTGCTAAATAGCTCTTTCTTAAACACTGATTCTACTATGTCATTACTTTGTTCTGAAGCCTTCTATGACTCCCTGTTGCCTATGATGTATGAAAAACATTTCATCCCCGGTTTTTTAGACTTTATTTAATCTGGTTACACACCATCTATTCAGCTTTATTTTGTCATCCACCACTCCCACAAACATGCTACTTATTCCTGCCCTTGGGACTTTATTCATCTTTACAGGTTCAAACTTTACCAATCTAAAAATATTGTGGCTCTATGAAACCCTCCTTTTTGATTTCCTTTCCTTCCCTAGGACTCTCATAACACTGTTACTGTACCCCTTTTATGACACCATATTCTGCCCTGTGTTGTAGTTATTGGTACACTTTTCTTCTTCCTTGGTGTTGACTTGTTGAAGACAGATTATGTACTTCATTAATTTTCAGACCCCCTGCAGTGGCTTTTTCAATGCAAAGCACAAGAGGTGGTTGATGAATAGTTACAATAAGTATAATAGAATTTTAGTTCTACCACCAGAATGCTTCTCCTTTCCTTTTTGTTTTGTTGAACTCCTTCACACACAAAAATCTTACTTCTAAGCCCAAGGTGACAGAGGATGCTTCTAAGCCCAGCACTCTGGGAGGCTGAAGCATGGGGTTCCCGAGTCTGAGCCCAGCCTGGGCAATTTAGTGACTTCGAGAGATACTGTCTCAAAACAAAACATAAATGGGCTAGGGATTTAGCTCAATAAGAAGGTCCTGTGTTCAATTCCTAGTGCCAGCAAAACAGACAAAAAAACAAAACAACAACACATTTCACTTTTTGAATGAAATTCTCTTAACTGCTAAATTCTTAATGAAACTTCCTTTCTCAGAATTCTTGTAACACTGTATATTTTACCACGTCTTTGTCTGTTCCTCTGATTACAACAAAATACCTTAGGCTGGGTGGATGAAGTTAATTTCTGAAAGTTCTGGAGGCTGGGAAGTCCAAGACTACAACGTGAGTAGATGTGGCATCTGGAAGCGAGCTGCCCTCAGCTTTCAATATGGTGCTTTCATGCGGTGTCTTCACATGGTGGAGGGAGGCCCACAGAGAGGAATGCAGTGTGCTAATATGGCAGAAGAGATGGCTTTCCAGTGGCCAGGCGGCTCTCTGAAGCCTCTTTCCCAAGACCATGACTTCCAGAGGGATGAAGCCCTCACAGTTTCATCACCTCCCAGCAGGCCCCATTTCTTAATGGTACCACACTGGTGTCATCAACATGAATTTTGGAGGAACGCAGACATGCAAACCATAGCACCATGCCATTTACTATTTTATTAATTGTTTTATGTGGCATATTCATTGCTCATGTATTGTTACACATGTCCCAGTGTATACAGAATCTCAAGAAGTATTTGTTGAGTAAATGACCAAGTCAATCTTGCTCACCAATTTAAGGTCCCAGAGCTAGGAACCACACCTTACATAACTTCTGTGTTTCCTCCCAGCTCTTCGCAGATAATAGGGGCTTTATGAATATTCACTGACTGATTGGCTCGTGGATTTCCATTGCAAATCTGTCCCATGTTGTGTTCACCGTTGTTTTGTCCTTAATGTGATTACACTGAAGAGGTCTGAGTTCTCTGGCTTCAGTTTCCCAGACTGGGCACACACAGAGGACTTTTTTCCAACCCTTTTAAAATAAAATGTTGTCCTTAACTGAGGACCAGACCTTCTTACTGGGACAAATTCCTAGACAAAGAGATGGGAATGGTGGGGAGCTGGGAATTACAAATGACCTTTGACCAGAAATGACTTGGTAGCACTTGTTAATGTTATTTGCAATATAGTTGGTGAGAAAAAAGCCATTCCATAAGTGCCTTATACTGTGTTCATTGTTGCACCAATCATGGTGCAACAATGAAAGACTAAGGTATCTTCCAAAATGGCAGGAAGTCTTCCAGTAGGTCTAAAACATCAATAAAGATAAGATTCATATACTATCATAATAATCTTTATAAATCACCCAGCCTGTATGGCAGAGAGCAGCACTGAGTAGTATCTGAAAGTCTTGAAGGAAAATCTAGTCTACTGGTTAATGAGAGGAAAGGGAGAGCTAGGTAAGCATCTCACATGATAAGATGCCCCTCACCAGTCTTCAGCAACACTGGATGATGAAAGATGGTGGAATGATTTTGGAAATCAGAAGGGCCACAGGTTTTGCTACCCTGGATGTGCTCTCTAATGATGGTACTCAGTACTGTGGGGAGATTTGTTCATGGGGTGTGTGAAATCGGGTCCTCAGCCACACTCCCTAGTCTTACTTCTAACTAGAAAAAGGGATTGATGGGTGCAACCTGGTATTTCACTGGGCCAAAAAAAGGAATTTAGCATTGCAGTGAACAGTAGACTAGCTATGATGTAGATCTTTTTAAATTAATATTTTATGTTTATTTATTTGCTATTTCATTGGCTTATGTGCTTAAGGAAGTCTTTGTTTTAAATGCAGGTGATCCAAGGACATATGACCCGGATTTCAAGGGCCCTGTTGTCAGCAGGTAAAATGTTCTTAAAAATCTATCTATATTTTTTAATTTTGTGGTTACCCTTTTCTAGTCGATGAAGAATTCTGTCTATTGTAAAGTGGGTATGACTTATTTCTGCCTAAATGTCACCCTGTTTCACAGGGAAGGTACAGAGAATAAATCTTGCCAGGAATCATGAACATCCTCCCTGTTCCGTACATGAACTGCCTTGAGCTCTGAGTTTGTATTTCTCAAAAGATGCAGGCAGAAAAATTCTTTGTGAGATTGAATCACTGTGTGGAGGAGCAAACCCAGTCAAGTTCTTGTTTTATGCGCTCGCTTACTGTGTGGCTCACCGTGGCAGATGCGGCGTTGCTCTGCCAACTCCTTCCCTACCGGGTATTTGTGCCACTCTGCTCCCAAATGCAGAGCACCCTCATAGACACCATCTTTGGCCAGTGCATCCTGCACACTGTAGCATACTTTAACATGCTCTCAGGAAATAGAGATAGTTCTCTCAGGTTGTGCTTCCCCTACTCCAAAATAGTGCAGCATTTAAAAGTTACCAAATAGTTCATGGTTCTCTTATTATTTATGCTACCTTCCATTCTCAGGCTTCCTGCTAACAGAAAGAGGGCAGTGGGGTGGGGCCGAGAAATCTGAAGAGAAGGTTATGCTGCTGGGGGCTGGTCATTGCTTAGTGCTGACTGATTTTTGGCAGCTGTATGTCCCACTAAACTGTGATGTGAAATAATGACCTGCATGCACATTTGCACTTGCCAGTCATCAGTAAGTTTGTGGGCAGTGACTGTTAGGCACCTGTAATAGCCCCACTTAAGCAGGTGTTTGTTCAGTTCATTCCTGTTCTGTGAGAACCCAAGTCATTTTTTTATAATTTCCTCATGGATGATTTTTTTTTTCTGGTACCAGGGATCAAACTCGGGACCTTGCGCTTGCGGGGCAGGTGGTGGAACCACTGAGCTAAATCCCCAGCCCCAACCCAAGTCATTTTTTTAGGTACATTCACAGGTCCACTTAGAACACAGGTGCCTTATTTAGAATGAATCTGAAGCCTCGCTTTCTCCGTGGTGACCCCGTGAACACATTTTGTTGTCTGGTGTACAAACAGCCTCATTCGATGTGGCAGTTACTTTCACTGTAATTGCAGTCACTTTACGTAACTAATTTGTGATGATTTAATGTAGCCTGTTGGCCTCAAGGGACTGCTAGATATAATTGAGATTCACCAGTAATAATAAGTATAATAAACAAGCTGCCACATTTGGACAGAGGAAAGATAGACTCCAAGCATGGCTTTCCTAGCTATAGAGAAGGGGGAAGGGTAAGCCTGGCTGGTGTTATGTAGGAAAGAAGAGGTCTCGCTGTCTTCAGTTTATTGTCCTCTGCTGCATCACAACATTTTGGTCAGCAATGGACCATGTATATAACAGTGGTCACCTAAGATTATAACATAGGTGAAAAATTCTTGTCACCAGTGATGTCACGGCCATCACAATGTCCTAGTGCAACACATTGCCCATGTGTTTGTGGTGATGCTAGTGTAACCAAACCTATTTAAGAATGTTTAACTGCACAAATACCATTGGGTTACAGTTGCCTACAGTGTTCACTTCAGTGATACACTACACAGGATTGTAACCTTAGCAACAGGTTATGCCATACACATACACCACGTAGCCCATGCAGATAATTGGTTATATGATCTGAGTTTGTGAAGTACACTCTATGATGTTCACCCAGTGACGAAATCGTCTCAGGATACATTTCTCAGAGCAGATGCCCATTGTTGCATAGCTCGTGACTGTGTGAGGAATTTAGTGATGGAATCAGTAGTCCAGGTAAAGTCTACATGACTATGAAAACCTCTGGGTAAAAAGAAATTTGATGCTGTGACTCAAGTACTGTGGTCTTTTTAGGGTGCCCCAAGTACCACAAAGTCTTCGAATGTATATTGGTCATTCTGTGGGGTAACTTTTCCCACCCTTCATTCCAAGAGCAGAGAAAGCATTAAAGCACAGGGCACGGCTATATGAAGCCACTGTAGACCTGTTAGTAACATCTGTCAGGCAGTGGGCTCTATAATGCTCTCACTAGGAAAAAACTGGAGCATTTAAAGAACAAATGAGATAAGGTGGAGTTGTAGTTGACTGGCAGAGCATTTACCTAGAACACTCAAGGCCCTAGGTTAAAAAATAAAAGCAAGTGAGAATCCCTGTTTCTTTGCACTGTCTCTTGAAGCAGGGCCACAAGTTAAACAAAACATCTTGTGCTCGTACCATGTTGCTGTGCTTCTAAGAAACCAAGGCCTTATCAGCTGTGCAAGCAGAGCCTTCCAGCCCTCTCTGCCCCCTCCAGTCTCCCATGCGCCCTTCAGCGTCTCTCGGATGACGGAGACACATTGCATGGCTGCTCACCAGTGTCTCCTTTGCTCTCATCTACTAAAAATCAGGCATGTGGGAGCTGTTGCCCCATGATACTGACAAAAAGGTGATGTTGATAGTTTAAGGGTTTTCCCAGCCCCCTTTGAAAAAGTAGGTCTCTAGGCCTCATGCTTTGTCTTCTATTTTCAACAGGAAAAAAAAACCAAACCAAGATTGGTTAGCATTGGATTGATGTTGTGAAAGTGAAAGTGTTATTCAGCACAGTACTTGGCAGTACATTAGAGGATGGAAATTAATGTGCAGAGAAAACTAAGAAATAAAAGCTCTTTTATAAAATGATACATGAGAAATTCCTTTTGTAATTTAGAACGAAGAAAAAATTTCATTTAGAGGGAAATTGGTATACTTTTCTTCTATTAGATAAGAGTTGTATAATCCACTGTTTTTCTTTTTTCTTTTCTTTTTTTTGTACTGACTTGTAGAAAGCTCACTGCTACATTTAATTTCAGTGCCAGCAACTGTATTAGCCTTTGAGTCAAAAATCTCTTTTCAAGACTTTGAATTGAATTTCTATTTCTATTTTAATAATTCTATTGCATCCAGGTGCTTTGAGTCATTTTATCTGAGATCCTTTTTGGAAAAAAGGCAACGTGAGTAGATAGGTAAATAGAAATGAAAGCTTTTCATGTTACACAGGTGCCTTTTTTCCTTTATGCACAACATAGATGAAGAACACATCGGTTGTCTGAAATTGGTAGGGTTCACAATAATGAAAATAACTATTATTATACAAGGTGGTAAAACTATCTAAAATTTAACAGGATATATTTATTTTTATCTGAAGCCTTGGACAGTGGTAAGTTCACTGGCATGGAAAGGTTCAAGGGAAAAGTGAAGGGCTATTATTAGGGTTCTTGTGGAGGGGATTCATTCACAGAAAGGAAAGGGAGTAAATGACCTCTAGTCCTTTCCAGGCCTGAAATTCTGTGACACTGTGATTGAGCTCTTAAGACCAACGGACAAATGAGTTCAGCTTCAGGCTAAGAGGTAAACACTATGCTGAGTCTGCCCATTTGCTCTTTGGAATTCTAAATGATGTTCTCAAGTAGACATCTCAAATTATTGTGATTACACAGTGCTGTCTCCTGGGTTTATGCAGTTCGCATATTTACTTCTTGTTGGAGTAACCGGTATGCTTCTTGTCCCTTATAAAGGGGACTTAGAAAAGTACAGTTCATGTCTGTAGGGAAAGGTGAGGAAAACAGTATAAAAAGAAAAGCACCTGAAGTTCAAGAAAAAAAAAAGTAGGTCTCATGTAAAAACATCTGAAGAGCTTACAGACTATTTTGATTTGAAAAATAGTTTGAAATAAAAAGCCTGTGTCTGTAGCACTTCCTTTGAAAATTTTAAGTGTCCAATTGTGGAAGGAAAGGAAATAAAAATATATAATTGCCTTAAATGGCTAAATTCAGAAACTACATGTGAATTGAAGTGCTGTCAACGTGGCATTTATACTCATTCAGAATGGAGCAAATGTTATAATCTGTTCAATTATATTTTATCAGTGTGACTATTTCGCCACAGGAAGATATGACTAACATGCTTCTTTAATACTCCTAGCCTGTCCTTTTTGTTTCTCATATGGGAAATTTTTTTTTTTTCTATTTTTACATTTTAAAATGTCACTGCCTACTAATTATTCCTGATAATGAAGTTAATCAACCTCAAAACTTCACAAGCACCTTTCTATTAGGAGAGTTAAAGAAAAATATCCTTACTTGTGTATTTTTTGTGTGCCAGGCACTGTGCTAGACACTCAGAATAAAAAGATGGACTAAGCTAAGTTCCTGCCTAACACACTTGCAGCCTAGTAGGAGAGGCAGATAGTAAAGGAGTGGATGCAGTCGGGCCAGGCGGCTAATGGAGCTATGGACAGGGGCTCTGGGGTCAGGAGAGGGTGTGCAGTGCTGGAAGGAGAAAGGAGAGGGAAATCTAGGAAGCTTCCTAGCAGAGGTGAGCTCTGAGGACATTCCAAGGAGAGCGACAGCGGGCATCGGAGCGGAGAAGCCTGGGCATGCTCCTACTAGAAATGGTTTGGTATGAACAGGACATCCAGTGTGCCCGGTGAGTGGTGAGGAGCATGTGCATCGGAAATGAGGGGAAACAATTATATTGGGGAGCTAAGAATGGGAAAAATCACCAAAGGTGTACAACACAGTATGTTTAGTGCTATACTCTATGGAGCTTGCCTAAGAGCCGCTGAAGAATTTTTAGTAAGAAACTGTTGTTCCTAACAGTAGGAAGGCGGGTGACAAAATTATGTACTCATGTAGCAAAAGCCACATAATGACAAGCATTTTATCCTAGGTGAGAAGTTGAGCTTCATTTTAAACAGCATGAAATAAATGGCGAGGACTTGATTGCTTACAGTCAGGGGAGTTGCTTGGTTAGATCTCAGTTGTCTTGATTTGCTATTTTTCCTTTCTCTCCTCGTTTCTCTCCATCTGAGACTTATTCTCCACCACTTTCTTCAGATGCATCCTGAGAAGGTCACCAGTGACTTCCAGCTGGCTGAGTGCAATGGGCAACGGTCTTGTCATCCTCACCCCGTGGCGCAGCCTCTGACTCAGG